GCTAAAGACAATGGGTGAACTCTTTTTTTTTTAAAAGGCAAGGGTATTTTTGTAATTTAACACTCAAACTTATTTACATGTCAGTCCTTTGATCCTGCAATGTAAAATCAAAATCCCGTGATCCTTTTTGCAAAAAATTGCTACAAAGGTCCTCTATTATGATATTCCCAATTTTCATTAGCCAATCTTATGGTTAAAAGGGTTGGAGATTGGATTGGCTATATTTGGTCATTATTTTTTGAAAAAATTAATCATTATAGTTTTAATTTAATTAAAATTTAATTCATAAATTTTGATATATTGTAACTCAGTTTATATAATTTTAATTTGATTGTAACTTAATTCTTGAACTTTAATCACTTTTGTAACTCAGTCTTTATAGTTTTAACTATTTAAAATATTAGTCCGTATATTTTAAAAAGTAAAATTATAAATATTAAAATTATGTTAAAATTTATTTAAATTTATAAACCCTTTTAATCTTATAAATATTATAAAGATTAAAATCTTTAAAATAGTTTTAATCTTTATAACTTTCTTTTTTAAAATATAAAGACTAATATTTTAAATGGTTAAAACTATAACAACTGAGTTATGAGAGTTAAAGTTTAAGGACAAAGTTATGGCCAAGTTAAAACCACAAAGACTGAGTTATAATAAATTAAAATTTAAAAATTAAGTTATAATTGAATTAAAACTATAAAGATCAAATGATTACTTTTTTCTATTTAGAGAGAATTAATGAGTTTTAATTTTTTTTAGTTTTGATAAAACATATTGAGAGTGAATTGTAAATAGGATGAAAGAGAATATACATTTTTTCTAACCTAACTAAATTTTTTGGCTAATTTTCCCACATCAATTTACAACTTATTTTTTAAATTTTAAAAAATACACGAATTCATCTAGTAAAAATAAGTTTCTAACTTTGCTTAATATATATATTTTAATAATACATTTTTTTAACAAATTTTATTGCTAGTTTAGATTTCAGTTTACATATAACAAAAATATATTTAAAAGATCCAACCATTTATTAAATTTGATAAAGCATGTTCAAAATGTATTTTGTATATATTTTTAAAGGTTATTCAAATAAACCTTTAATAGGGTGAAGAGAAAATCTATAATAAAAAAAACAATGACATGCTTTATGATTAGAATAAAACTTGGTCTCTCTCTATCTTGCCAAAAAAAAAAAATTGTATTTTATTTTAAAATTTTTTGTATATGTCGTAAATTCTTAAATACTGTGGGCAACTAGCTAGCCGACGCAGCAATTAACGGGAGCCAACGGGTTTGTGTGGGTCCCATTCCTACCAACAGTTATCCATCGGTTTGACAATTCCTGATATCCTCTACGTTAATTAAATCTTTAATTAATTCCTAATCTAAGAAGACACTGTTTTTATTAGTTCAGGAGGATAATTAATTAATTACTATTATTGTTAACAGATGGGCCACGTGGATTTAAACACTCCACCTAGCCTATGGAATCTTCAGTTTGATTAATCAAATGACCGAATTGTATATTCAAACTCGTATCCTATAAATCTATAATCAATTAATCACCCTTTATGCCTAATTAATTTCATCGATAAAGCCAGAATCTTCAATCATCTAAATTGTCATCATAATTGTTTGAACTGGAGTGGACTCACTCCAGGCCAAAATATTTTATTTTATTTTCTGTGCTCAGTTCTGTATTTTATGTTTATTTTAATTTAATTCTTAACTTCAATCATGAGAGAAGTTGTCAGCATTTGATTTGTAGTGTGAGATTAATTAAATATATTCTCAATAAATTAATTAAAATTTCAATATAAAATATAAAATTTAGTTGAAAATGTGCTGCTTACAAGTTATGCATAGATATTTGGCTAAATTATATTTTTAATTATTTAGCTTAATATAATACTTTATTTTAGTCCCTTACTTTTATAAAAGTGTTTTTTAAATTTTTTAACCCAACACTATTAGTTTCATCACACCAAGTTTATACATTAAACTTTTAAATATTGAAAAATATTCTAAAATGTGGATAGATTAAGTTTAATTTTCTAAAAATAACAATGATTGGTAAAAAAAAAAAAGTCATTTGAAACTCACAATATTAGGATTAGAAAACTAAAAAAATACTTTTTAAAATTATAGAATTAAATTAAAATTTTATATAAAATTAGAGGACTAAAAGTATACTTTAGCTTTTTTGTTTTCCCATCTCAAACTCCATGCAATATTTTTATTCTCTTGATTCTCCCTACTAATTTATTAGGATTTTTGTAAATTTTTTTTGTTTATTATTCAATATTTCTTCATATATTTCAATATAATTTAAATGTAAAATGTCTAATCTTTATAAATTTTTATTTGTCTTTTTGGTATATCTTAAGAATTCAAAATTTCAAATCTACCCACCCTTAACACTTGAAATGGATAGCTCTTCAATATATATATATATATATATATTATGTGCATAATATATATATATATATATATATCTAGTTACATAGTGTTAATATGAATGCAAATATCATTATATGTCCAAATTTAGTAGAAGGGGCAGTAAGTAATGAAGATGAATAGATGATGAGAGAGCATTAAAAAAACTTGATATTATGTCAGTTTTAGTAAACAAAAATAGAAAATAAAATTTGAGGCGTGTTCATTTTCAAGAAAGGATGATAAAAAATTAATTAAATAATGAAATTAGAAAATAAGGCGTTGTTGGACAAAACAAGGCAACACCAGCTATTTTCAATAAAGGATGATAAAAAATTAATTAATTCAATACCTCAAGTATATTTTTACCAAGAGTCGTTGGTTTAATTAGTTGAGGAAATTAAATTAGTTTATTTTGAGATTTTGAGTTTGAATTTTGAATATGCAATTGCATAAAAATAACAATATTAAATGCATCACAACAAGACAACAACAACAACAACCACGACAATGACAATAATAATCACACAGTGATTTAAAGTTTTCATACTAGTCTAGGCCGGTGGTAGTAAGATTCCCACAAAGTTTCTTAACATGCATAGTATATTTCGATCATTCTACAGAATGAAAAGTCTCTCTTGATCTTGATTTATGTAACTTATTCTACAAGTCTTATGAAAGCAATCACATTTGACCAAAATATAAACTCAGGCTAGTTTTATGTATGTTCAGTGCACGCGCGCACGCACTATATAAATGATAAGGCATTTGTTCCTTTACAAGTTCGTCACATTGCTGTCTTCTATTATTGTTGGAGAACTAATAAATTCTTACTCTCTATTGCACAAATACACCTACTCTTTTTGTTCCTATGTATAAAAGTTATTGTTAATCGAATTATGCATGTCAATAAAAGTTTATTATTTTATTAAAATCCCATTAAATCATAGTAATTTCTAAATTTTGCCTTTGATAATGTCAATTAATATCATAATGATAGTGGGTAAAGTATACAATTAATATCTCTTCTTCTTCTTCTTTTTTTTTTCAAGACAAGGACAAAATTATCCTATTACTTAAAATATCATTTCTCATATTTAAAAACAAAATAAGCTTATAGAAAATATTTTATATAAAGGGATGGAGAGCGTAATTCAAACTTCTTGCATACAATATAATGTGACATGCTTGAGGTTGTCACTATAGAGATGAGAAAAAGCATAATACTCCATGTCAAGAATAGACCAATACATATAAGGTAATTCAACTATGGATGAAGTAGCAAGAGCTAGCCAAAAGGCAAAATCCTCCATTAGGCTGAGTTGTGAAAGCTAGCAACCTGATGGACCTGTATGCCTATCCCTACTTGAGTTGTTCAAGCTCTTAAGGCCGGGCACCAAGTTAGAGTGATGCTCGGCCCAACCCGATCCGTGTGCGCCCCTATCTTCCATTAATAAGAGTTGGGTCAAATGGAAGGGATTGGTATATCGTATGATAAGTTAAAGCTTAAATCCTTATTGAGAGAGATACTCCCATTGAATGCCCAACCATACTTCGAATCAGATTATGCTTAAGAGAAAGATACTTGTTTACAATAAAAAAAGGGCATGCAAAATCCCCCAAGACGAAGAGAACATCCATACATAGGCTGCAATCAGTATCCACCAGTGGACAAAAAGCACAAAATTAAATCAAAATTTACCTCAGAACGTCAACCCAAATAATACCTAGAGTCAAAGATAACTTCTTAATATCTGCTGAATCTAAATCAAGAAGTCTTTGATATAATTTTACATCCTTTTGAAACTTTTATAGTTTGGTCAATAAATATTTACATTTTTAACTATAAACTATATATATGTGGAGACCAGCGCAATCAAACTCAGTGGATTAATTCAAGTCAATGAACAACTTGAAGTAACAGATTCTCAGATCGAGGGCTCGAACGGAATGGTTCATGTTTCGCACACAAGTTGTACTAATTAAGGATTTTGATCATAGTCAGTAAGAATTAGTCTGAAATCTTCTAAGGCAATAGGTTTATAAGAAGATAAAATGTGACCTAAACCATACAATACTACTACTACTTCACACACATTTCAGGCAATTTGGAATTTCTAAGCACTTTAATTGCTAGAGTAAAAGGTGATATTCTTAACCCATAAAGGTTATATTCGGTAAGCTTCTGTCTGAATGACAAGTAATGGCATTGAAAACCAGGTATGTTGCTGCAGAATAATGGTAATGCATAGCTTCTTGCAAACCTAATGAAACACCAATTCAGGCCGATTATTTTACATGGCGACTTGATTGGGTCATATATTAGAGCATTGTCAAGCTCAATTAGAGATAGTTTTTTAAAGACATTTCTTAAGCAGCCATAGTCCCTTTCATTAGCACCAATGCTTGTTGGTCAATCCTGGTTGAGTTTGGCCCAATACCCAAAAAATAAAAAATAAAAAATCAGTAATTGGCAAAAGAAATATAATTACAGTTATTCAAAATATATTCATTTAAAAAACAATGTTAACATCACAAGCTTTGAATCATTCTCAATACTAATAGGAGATAACCTCATCTTTCTTCTCTAGTAAATACAAGCTCTCTGTATGATAACGAATAAAAATCCTATCTTTTATAACTCCTAAGGCGTCAACTCCTTGTAGGCTCTTCGTTCTTCTGGCTATTGGATTATAGCTGAGAATCCTCCCGTCTCCCATTTCGACTATGATGTCTTCGTTCACCCTCATCCCTAACACATTCTTCGGAATCAACTTATGATTTGGTCTGTCATAAGGACGCTCTTCTGATCTCACTATATTTGTCCAAGACTCATACACTCTATATTGCTTCATAATCCACACGTACCACTTGCGATATATTTGTCTTTCTCCTCGTACTAATTTTGACACAGCAAGCCTCTCCCCTGTCGTGAATATAGAAACAAAACCATCAAATTCCGCAATCCTCTCTGGAAGGAATATTTGTCCGAACACTTCATGCGACAGATCGAATGTAAGTATAAATTGGTAACCTACATCGATGTTCCAAGCAATCCAGTGAAGTATACCATTCATGAACACGGGAGCTGCCACCTTAAAGACTCGACATCTAGGAAGGGGATGAGTTCTTTTAGTGAAAAATTTCCATGACCAAGTGGCGTATGAGAAAACACAAACGATATGAAGTTTAAGGTTACGATGAATAAGGCTTACAACCTTAAAATCATTGTTCGTGCTGTCAAAGCCGAACCCTACAGATGATCTGTGTACCTCACAACATGTCATCGAGAGTTGGGGAAGCATTACGTATTTTCGAATAGTTGGGTTCCAAAGAACGAATTGTTCATGCAAGTGATCAACAAGACATGTTAACCCATTGATTGTACCCAACACTTTGCCAGTTTTGAAGCCATCGATGGTCGGAGTTTTCAATCTGCGAAACAAACTCAATCGGTGGTTGTCCCAATGCAACGAATAGCATTCGTGGAAAGTAACATCTGTGTCAATATCTGATTCGCTGTTGTCTATGTAGCGGCAAACTTTTACGAGAAATACTTCATTTTTTGATTGAAGAGCTTGCTCTGAGTTTCGAGATATGAAATCGGGACTGGTAATAAGGGAATTCCAATCTCTACAAACGAAAGAACAATGAAATAGGGTTTGAGTGTCTACTGCGAGAAAAATTTTTTCAACAACGTCAAGAGGAATAAAAGGAATAATATTGCCATTTGAGCTTCTTGGTTTCATTACTTGCATGATGAGTTCGACGATGAACATGAACGAGGACGTACAACAATGGCGTTTGAGATCGATCAGCCTCATGTTTTAGGATATTCTACTTGGGCGATTAAGAATTTGGGACCTAGGGTTAATGAGGTTGATTTAAGTATTTATTGATTAATTGATTTGATCTATTTATCCTTATCGAATTTCATTTATAATATTAAAAAAGTATAAATACGTCGTTAAATGAATTTATAATAGTGCCAGATCCTTTGTTAACGCGGTTGATTTACAATTGTGCTGTTGCTAGATGTGATAACTACTTCTGATATAAGATTTACTGATTCAAAATATTTAGTCTTGATTCGACAAAATCTCAACTTCACATTTTTTTTTGACTTATTCTTAACTTCAATTTTCAAATCATATAATGGGTAAATTTATTAATTTTTTAATTGGTGTGGATTACTTTTATTTACAAAATATTTCGGATAACATATCCATTGATTGATTTAATTTACCGATTAACCTGCAACAACGTACTGGGTATACAAAATTTAATTGATTCAACTTTTCAATACTGCTGACTTAATTAATTATATTGATCAATCAATATTAAAATATTAGTTTCATATGTACTCAATAATTTTCATCTTAGTAATTAAAATCAATATATATTTCTTAAAAGTCAATACCAAAATTTGAAATTTAATTTCGAAAGTTATTATAATGGGATTAATTAATTAATTAATTTGGTCATATATTCAATCAATATTAAAGTAAATTTATAATGTTCAGAGAATTTCCAAGAGAACAAAATTTTTATTTATTTGTCTAACTAAAGTATATTCAATTAAGACATAAATAAACAATTAGTTCCAAATTAATGAGTATAATTAATAACTAATCATTTTTTAAGTGTTATTATTCAAAATAAATAATTTTTTAATTAAATATAAGTTTTGATTCTATGAAGATGGCACATATTACTCCCTCTGTTCCTATTTCTAAGAAAATTTACCTATTTTAGAAAAGAAAAAACCAATTCATGTTTTTAAAATTACTCATCTTCTAAAAATATATCCTCATCAGTTGACATTTGGATAGATGATGTTTTTCTAAATTTTAGATTTAAAATATTAACTTTAAAATTCATGTATTTAAAAACTTTTGTTGGAGCACAACAGTATAAAAAATCAACATTAATATTAAGAAGGAGTTGTCTTGTGTGACTTGTTTACATGTTTGGGTATTATTAAAAGATGGAGAAGATGTTGGTGGATATTTGAAATAATTAGGATAGATTATGTAGTTGAAAGGAATTGTAATAAAAAATTTTCTTTTGATTTAGATCAAATCAAAATATCCATAAGGTAGCAACTATTAGATTATTGTTGGATGTAAATTTGAATTTTATATTTAAAATTTCAAATTCAAGATTTTACATTTAAAATCTATGTATTTAAAATCTTTTATTTATATAAAAAAATTCAAATTCAAAGACAATAAGAAAGAGAGATGATGGAAAATGAAAATTGAAAGAGATTGGGGGACTAGAGCAGCTAACATTTCAAATAACTATGGTGCAGGAAGGATTTGAAATTATAAATAAATTATAATAAAATATGGATCAAATTCAAATTCATAAATTTCTATGGATCTAAATGGTGGATTTAGTTTAAATTCAAATCCAAATTTTCATACATTCAAATGCGAGATAAAATTTTGGGTATTGTTTATCCAAATTCACATTAACCCAAAAATAATATTAATTAGATATTATTCTCTCACCCCTTTTTTCTTAATTAATTAAAGCTTAAAAGCATCATTTGTCAAAGGACATTTTTAGAAAAGCATATTAATTATCACTACTTAGATTTAGCGAATACTGCCTTGAGTGAACTCTGAGGCCGCTTTAACTTTATAATTCGTACTAAATATTATACTAAAACTACTCATCCGACTTAAATATAATTTTAGGGCCCTTTTATAGTTTATTGGTTGAATTGGTTTTTAATATGATATGTGAGCGTTTATTATTGATTACTCCATTCGGTTTAGAATTATAAGATCATAATATAGATAAATAAGTTCACATATGAACTCAATTTTAGTTCATGAGCCGTTATTGCTCAAATATAGAGCTGATAATTTGGGCAAGCCTGAATTTACTCAAAAAAAGTTAGAGCCATATTTGGCTATATGAGCTTTTTAAAGGAAGCATGATATTTTAAGCCCAATCCAAATAAACCTAGCCTAAATTGAGCTTGACTTGAATAAGCTCGGCTTGAATTGAGCTTGACTCGAATAAACCTAACCCTAGAATTTTCATCTCTACATGTATGTAAAGCAGGTAATTTTGGCTAAGCTCAAAGGTCCAACCTAGATCTAACTACAAAAAGTTAGGGTTGGGCTTGACTATATATGCTTTTTTAAGAGGATATGATATTTAAAGCCTGATTTGAATAAGCCCAACCAGAATTGAGCTCGAATTGAATAAGCGCGACCTGTGAATTACCGACTCCACTCAAATATGTATGATACTCAATGCTAACTATTGTACTATCAATTTTCAATCATTCTCCAAAGTCTTGTTTGCGATCATATCGGTGTTCAACTGCTTATGATGGGCTGAGTTTGCCTTGATTTGGCACTTGACCTAACAAAACTAATGTGGTGTCGCTAAAAAAATAGTGCATTGGAGGTGTTTTTGTCAAATGCCATTGGCAGAAGGGCAAAGGCAGCATTTGTGTTTGAAATGGGTTTTTAGGAATGTTTTTGGGTATTATGGGTGTTTTCAATAAACATTGCCAAAGTAACAGCGGCACCTGTTTTGGTGGTATTTTTAAAAAATGGCAAAAGCACCTTTAGGGATATTTAAAGAGGAAAAAAAAGAAAAGCTTCTAAAGCATCATTGTTTTGTAATGTAGACACATAAAAATTTTTAAAAAGTAAATAAAAAATTCATTCATTTATAAAAGCAACAGCTTTAGATTTACCCAAAATATATTCATTTAAACAATAATGTAGGCATAATAGTTTTTGCATTTTGTAGCATTCTGATGAATATCAATAGGAGTAAACATTGTCTACTTTCTCTAGTAAATACAAGCTGTTTACAAAATAACATGTAGAAACCATCTCTCCACAACCAACTCTCAAATTGCATAGTCCATTTGTCGTGTTTGTTGGATTGTACACAACAATTTGTCCATCTTCCAATTCTAGTATCATGTTCCTATTCTTCCTTATGACCAACACATTATTCATTGGATTCTCCACTTGGTTTGGATGATGATATAAAAAATCCTCTTCATTTTTTGCTATATTTACCAAAGAATCATGCATTATATATTTTTTTCATAACCAAACTAACTAAACATGATATACTTATTTAAAACAAAAAATTTTTAGTACTCTATCCATTATTACATCGTCTTTAGTTGAGATAGCAAGCGAGTCCCACGTTGGCACTATAGAGATCATGTAATTAAAAGGCGTTGCAATGCTCTTGGGAAGTAATATTTCTCTGAAAACTTCACATGTGATATCGAATGTAAGTATAAAATGGTACTTTGGTTCCATGTCCCATGCCATCTAATGAATTACACCATTCAGCAACATATTAGTTGACGCTTCCATCAGCTGACATGGAGGAGGAGGAGGATCATCGTCAGTATTATTAATGAGATGTTTCCATGACCATGTAGTGTATGAAAACACATAAGCTGTATCAAGTTCACAATCACTAATATGAAGAATAAGGTTTACAACCTTGAAGTCTTCACTCTTACAATCAAAACCAAACGCTAAGCATGCTTCACAAAACCTTAACCCTATGCATGATGTTCAAGGAAGTGGTACATATTTTCGAACATTAGGGTTCCAGGAACAATGAAATAATATGAAAAATTAGCAAGACAAATTGACCCATAGCTTGCACCCAATACAAGTTTCAGAAGGAGAAAAAGAAGCCTATTGATAAGTCAAAGTATAAGTTGAAGGCACAGTCTACCAAGTCCAAGGCTCAGTACAATAATAGGCCCATTAACAACTGGGATTTTGTTTATTGTATAATTGCTATTCTTTATTCTTTCATTGTTTATCTCTTGCTTGTATTGCTCGCTGGCCAATTCCTATTGTTCACTCACAAACCCCGATGTATTATTTATAGCTAGTATTGGGAAACCCAGTGAAAGTATTAAATTGATTTCCCCAGTAACCAAACTTGGTCTCAGAGCCTCCAATAGAGTCCCACATTATAGCTGCTTTATCATCATTTGTCTTTGTCACTATCCCTGCCATTCCTACATCTACTTCAGCCATTCCTTTGACTTTACCCTTCACACCTCTTGGCTTTTCTCATCCTTCTTTCAGACCATCAATTTTTTCCCTAGACTTTATCCCAACTCCTTTTTCTGGTGGTGGTTCTAGCTCAACAACCCCAATTCATAGCTTCATGTCGATGTTGACGTCTCAATCCACCATTGTTCCAGCTGTTCCTTTAACAACAAATAAGTCTGTTTCATTATTGAACAGCTTGAATCAAATAGGCTCCATCAAGCTAGATCAAATTAACTATCTTCTTTGACACTCACTTGTCTCTTCTATGCTGAGAGCTCATCGTCTTGAAGGTTTTATTCTGGGTTCAAAACTTTATCCTTAAGAGTATGCCTTTTAGGGAGAGAACTTAATCATGATTCTTGAGTATGAAATTGGTTGGCACTAACCAACTTATATATGGCTATCTAGTTAGTACTATGACATCAGATCTTCAAATGCAAGTGCTACATTTTCGCACCTTTGCTCAAATGTGGTCATGTGTTCAAGGATTAACTAGTATACAAACGAAATCCAAGATTATGGGCTCGTTTGTTTTGGCTTATTTCATTTAAAAAATCACTTATTTTTAAAAAATTTATTTTGTGAGTTTTTTTATGATATTTGTTTAAACTTTTGAAAATAATCAGAATAAAAAAAGTAGATTTTTGATTATTTTAAGAAGCTACTTTAAGTAGCTTTTAAAAAGAATCTAATGCGGTAGATAAGAGACAATGTTTTAAAGAGGCGAGATACGTGAAGATATCATAAACATTTAA